AACTTTCACTCAATCCACAATAAAAACCTTTAATTAAAAAAAAAAAAAAAGGTTACATACGACATGATCACTCGTTTAGTGTCGTTATATATAAATAGATAAAGTGGAAGCATAGAATGAAAACTATACTACATTTTGTAAGTTAAGGAGAAGTAGATGTCAAGGTAAAGTAAGGTAAAAAGAACCTTCTAACGACATAATGGAGTTCTGGTGTGACACTGTAGATTAATGTACTGGACTGCAAGGTTGGTTTGAACCACAAGGTCAGCAGTTCAAGCTCACCACCCACTCTTCTGAAGCCCTATACAGGGTCGCAATGGGTGGGAACTGACTCGACGGCATTTAAATGACTTAATGGGCTCCTGGTATAGCTCTGTAGGATCCGCACTAGACTGCAAACCATAAGGTCAGCAATTCAAACCCACCTACTGCTCCCTGGAAGCTCTGTACAGGGTGACTATGAGTCAGAACCTGCTTGACAGCAGTTTACAACAATAACGACTTAATGACTAGAAATTCTCAAAACTGGAATTTACCATGCTATGAACAGGAGCTCTGGTAGCTCAATTGTTAAGAGTTCAATTGTTAACCACCCAGCCACTCTGCAAATAAGAGACGTGACCATCAGCACCCATGCTCCCGAGGAGGCCCTATAGGGGCAGTTCTACTCTGTCGCATGGGGTTGCTATGTGTCACAATCAACTCTATGGCACACAGCATGTTGTATGTAGTCCAGACTTGATAAATCCATGTTTCAATGCTGGGAACTGGAATCATATATATTCTAAAAGATTATACTAAACACCCTCTAAATCCCTTTCAAAGATATGAGTCTAACTCTTCCTAGGTTATATGTGAGATCCCAAAGTTGAGATAGTTAGGTATTTATTTATTCTATTTGTATATGTTTGTAATGCAGAAAGGTAGAACAGTTAAAGATATAATCACTCATTACCCAAGTCCACTACTCAAATCCAATCATTAGAAACAGTTTAGTGTATTTCTTTCTTTTTTAAATTTACAGTTTGTTTTAATTTATCATAAAACTGATATTATGAGCATTTATTTGATAATACTTTCATTGCCTACACTTAAAGCCTTTGTAATAAAAATTGTCTGATGGGATAAAAAAATGTTTCAACTTGTAATCAGTAAATTAACAACGTATACTTTATTTCCTTTCTCAAGACAATGCACATGATTTAATTTCAATGGCCTTTTCAATGTGCCAGTTAGTAGTAAACTTTGCTGCAGACCAATACCAGTAAGCAGATTGCAAATACCATCAAATTAGACATGGTCCCTTCCCTAAAAGGCTCATGGCAATATTTACAGTCCAAATTGGAAGAGTCATGGGAAAGGATTAAGCAATAACTCATTCAATAAGTTATGAAAGTCCTTAAATTGCTGTAGAGCGGTTATTTTCAAGAAGACAGTGGGAGCAACATATCTGCTTTCATTGCGAAGCTGAAATTAAGCTTGGTTTTCCTTCTTGCTGAGGTTAGTCTCTTTTCTTTCCCTTATAATAGACAGGATTGTGTATGTATCGAGGGAGAATGTGAGAAAAGTCATTAAAATCTTTTATTTGATTATAGTTGTATGGTAAAAATAGTGTTCTTACTATCCAATCATGTAAGCAAGTAAAAAACAAAGAGGTTTTTTTTCTTTTTTTTTTTTTCATTTACTAACTTAAATTTAATTCTATAGGCATTTACTAGGCATCATCTATGGGTGTCAAATGAGAGCACTATAGGAGTCATTGTGTGGTTACCAAGAGGAGGGGCTTTACTATATCTAAGAAGTTCAGGAAAGGTCTTATACTGGAAGTAATCAGCGGAGAAGGGAGGAGGACATTCCTGCAGTGGAAACAGCATTCCCAAAAAATGGCATTAAGAGCAAGGAAGGGCACGGGTCTCTACACAGTCTCTACAAATGATTCAGCACAGTTCAAGCACAATTTGCATGTACTTGAACCTTAACAGTTATAATGTGGTGTCTTTACGTTTATCTGCACTGTGCTCCCCTTTAAAATGAGTCAAGGACAGGTGTAATATTATCTGTACTCTCAGCAGCAGACACAGTATCCAGTCCATGGTGGAGACGCAACAAGAATTTGTTAAATGAATGAATGAGCATGATAAGGTTCGCCCAGGGATCTTAAATGATTTCCCAAAGCTGCTCCTTGGAAACCCTATACAGGGTCACTGTGAGTCCGAACTGACTCCATGACACTTAACAGCAACATATTTACTGATACTTTTCTAAAAATTTTTGAAATATATATATATACTTTTTAATTTCCCAAATATATTAATTAGTTGACTTTTATTAGGTTGCTAAAGGAAAGAGGAAAATATTAATATGTTAGTTTACTTTGCTTTTTTGTCTGGTGGGTGAGGCGAGGGTACTATATTTACCATAGGCTTTTCTCGGGTGTACTTAGCACTCACACTGTGTTTACTTTCTCTTATTGTCTCCTCAAATTACTGTGTTTCCTGCATCATTACTTTTTACTGAAACTTATCTGGAAAAGACCAATGATGACTACTATATTGACAAATCTAATATTTAATCCATTTCAATCTCACTCACTACACTGCTTTGCTTTGGTTTTCTGCTGAATGGAATGCCACACACACAACACACATGAACTACCACCACCACCTTTCCCGGTCTCTTACTTAACTCCTACACACCCTTTCCTTTTAGCTTGTGTGTCACATCCTCCAGAAGGTCTGCTATTCCTTCCTGGTGCCACTTGTGCGCAGCACACAAGTATGATGGCATCATTAAACTTATCACATGTCATGGTATCTACATGTCGTCTCACTCCCTGATTATACAGACAACTTTCTGAGAGAGTAATTTTATTTTTTTATACCTACCATAGTCCCTCATATTGTTGTTAGTGCCATCGAGACCCTGTTTAGAATTTCCAAGGTGCAGCTGGTGGATTTGAACCATCGACCTTGGGATTAGCAGTCCAGTACTTATCCTACAGAGCCACATCAGAACTCCACAGTCCCTGATAGGTGTAATTATACATTTGTATCTCTCTTCCTGAACTCTACAAAGAACTGTCTGAAGTAAGAAATTGCTTTTTCTATATATTTGGAATGTAAGAACATCTCTATGCCTACCGCATCACTGATGAGTAATCAACATATTGATGTTCTCAACTGCCAGTAAGAATAATCAAACTTTAGGACAGAAAACAATAGGCCCCGTGATGAAGCAGTTTCTGTTTAAATGGGATGGAAGGTGATGAGAGAGCTTTTGATTTCTGCCAACCAGCTGCAGCACCATGGCCAAGAAGAGGATTGCTGTGATCGGAGCCGGAATTAGTGGGCTGGGAGCCATTAAGTGCTGCCTGGATGAAGGTTTAGAACCCACTTGCTTTGAAAGAAATGATGATATTGGAGGTCTCTGGAAATTTCAAGTAAGTTTGATTTTTGTCTGGATGTTTTTCCCTACATTCACTTTTTAGATTTCTAGTCTTGTGTTATTATTATTCATGGTTGTCTTAGAAATTTCAATAAGCACCTTTGAGCTATTACCCATTAATTTACATTTATACTTGTATCGTTTTCTAAACAAAGATCTTACAAGCATTCACTACATTTACTCCTTCCAATTCTTTGTGTTACTATCATGTATTTTTCTTCTTAAATATGTTATATTCAAGGTATTATTATTGTTGTTATTGTTTAAACAACTTTCTTTTGTTGTGCTTAGCCACATGTATTGATAATTTCTTCATTCTTCCCTGTATTTGCTTGCTTCCATCTTGGTTCTTTCCAATTCAGCCTAAAGAACTTCTTTTTTTCTGATAATGGTGGAACAAACTCTCTCAGCTTTTTTTGTTTTGACATGTGTTTATTTCATCTTCATTTTTGGAAGATGTTTTCACTGAGCATAAAAATCTATGTGAACATCTTATTTCAGTCTTTTAAATATTCCATTTCTTTTTACTTCTATTTTTTTCTGTTTAGACATCAGTCAATAACCTTATTGTTGATTACATATAACTTTTTTTCTCTAGAAAATGGACTGAGGAAGAGAATATTCACGGAGAAAATGAGACAAAGTACTTTCTTATTATTACATGAGATCATTTTTTCTCATTAACCCTTTTATTCTGATTCTTGTGTTATTTAAAATTTTTGTTAATAAGAATAGCTTTTCTCCTATAGAAAAATACTTCAGAGAAAATGCCTAGTATCTATAGATCTGTGACCATCAACACTTCCAAGGAAATGATGTGTTTCAGTGACTTTCCCATACCTGATCATTTTCCCAACTACATGCACAACTCCAAACTCATGGACTACTTCAGGATGTATGTCAAACACTTTGACCTCCTGAAACACATTTGCTTTAAGGTAAAACAGAAATGAAATTTGTGTACTGTGTGCGTGTGTATGTGTGTGTGTGTGTGTGCACATACGCAGGGATGAGTTATTCTTGGCATCTTCTACCGTCAAAGGAAGATAAAATTAATGCATTTCCACCACTAGAAAAAACATTTCTAATGAAGTCAATTTTTTGAAGACTTTACTTGAATGTAAGATTAGAAAATCCATGCATGGTTGGTAATATGCCATGGAGTCAGTTCTGACTCATATTGCTATGAGTTTATATATAGAGTTTCTGAGGCCTAAATCTTTATGGAGCAGAAAGCCTTATCTTTCTCCTGTAGAACAACTGGTAATTTCAAACTGCTGACCTTGAGGCTAGCAGCCCAACTCACAACCACTATGTTACCAGAGCTCCATATTATCAATATGGGTTCTCTCCTTGGAGATAATATTTTATTATGGCATGGTCTTTGTTGGTCTCAAATTTAAGATGTTTAAGGACTTATAATGTTGTTGTTGTTAAGTGCTGTCAAGTTGGTTCTGACTCATAGCAACCCTGTAAAGCATTTCCAAGAAGTGACTGGTGAGTTTGAACTGCCGACCGTGCGGTTCAAACCGACCTTGCAGTCCAGCAAATTAACCCAGTGCCACACCAGGACTTATAAAAGTTCCAGTGATAACTGACCCAAATTATATTGCCAGAAGAACAAGAACTAGAATGGTATAAACAGCACATGGAAAACTTTTTCATATCCATGTAGTCCCCAAAATCTATCTATCTTCAAAGACCAAAAATCAAACAAATCTGTTGTCACTGAGTCAATTCTAATTCGTAGCCACTCTGTAGGACAGAGTAGAAGTGCCTATAGGGTTTCCAAGGCTGTAATCTTTATGGAAGCAGACTGCCATGTTTTTCAACCTAGGAGCAGTTGGTGGTTTGAACCAACTACCTTTTGATTAACACATGAGCACTTTAACCATTATGCCAAGGCTTCTTTATCTACCTCCACCTTTAATGTTGTTGCTAAGTGCTGTTGAGTCAGTTCTAACTCACAGTGGCGCTGTATAATGTTTCCGAGAGCAGCTGGTGAGTTTGAACTTCCAATCTTGGAGTTAGAAACCCAACATTTATCCCAGTGTCACACCAGCACTTCCAATACACACATAAAAAAATCCATCTCCCTAGGCCAGGTGGATCATTTCTCTCTAAAACTTTAAAAGTCAAAAGTGGAGAGGACTGTGCTAAAATCTAAATACAAGGAATAAAGCTTTAATTTGGAAGTCTTCATGGAAGGAGGATATTATTCCTGTGGCTTCAAGTCACTCCTCCGTTTTTTCACAGTAAAGTCTCATTCCATTTCTATAGAAAATTACATTGTTAATTAAGTTCTGCAAATATCTTAAAAATGCACTCACAGCAAATTCACCATGGGAGTGCCCATACTAAATGAGTATGAATGCCTCAGATGAGTTCTGCTATCCAGGTTTATAAGGTTGAGTTTTTCAGTGGGGCTGGGGAGAAGGCTTAAATCTAAGGACAGTAACTTTGTATAATCTGTGCTTGTGTCCTTGTTCTCAGACAAAAGTGCGAAGTGTGAGGAAGCGTCCAGATTTTTCTGTCAGTGGACAATGGGATGTCATGGTGGAGACTAATGAAAAACAGGAGACTTTGGTCTTCGATGGGGTCTTGGTCTGCAGTGGCCATCACACCGACCCCTACTTACCACTTCAGTCCTTCCCAGGTATGTCACTAAGAATCTGTTGGGTAAGAAATCACTTTCCAAATAAACAGAGAAAAGTCAAAAAGTATATTACTGGAGTTAATGAAACATCACTGGGAATGCTAAATAACAACTAACAATCCTGGTGTGGCACTGTAGGATAAACACTGGACTGCAAACAGCAAGGCTGGAGGTCCAAACCCACCAGCTGCTTCTCGGAAACCTTATACTGGGTTACTATGAGTCAAAACCAACTCAACAGAACGTAACAACAACATCCAACATCTGGAGTCCTGGTGTGGTGTTATAGGATAAGCCCTGGACTGCTAACAGAAAAGTTGACAGTCCAAATCCACCAACTGCTCCTCGGTTGTTCTATCCATTTTTGAAAGCGATGTATTAAAATTGCCCATGAGTATTATAGATGTGTCTATTTCTTTCTTCAAATCTATTAGAGTTTGCTTTATATGTTTTGGAGCTCTTTCATTGCGAGCACAGATATTTATTATGGTTATGTCATCTTGTTCAAATGACCCTTTAATCATGAGATAATGTCCATCTTTATTATTATGCTGGTTTCTGCCTTAAAGTTTATTTTATCAGAGATTAGTACTGCCACTCATGTTCTTTTTTTATTGCAATTAGCTTGGTATATTTTTTCCATCCTTAGACTTTTAATCTGTTTTTGTCTCTTTGTGTAAGATGTGTCTCTTGTAGACAGCATGTTGAAGGATCTTGCTTTCTTATCCATTCTGCCACCCTCTGTCTCTTACCTGAAGTATTTAATCCATTTACATTCAGTGTAATTATCAATTGGTATGGATTAATTGCTGCCATTATGTTTGTTTTTTTGTGGTGTTGTTGCTTTCTTTGTTCTGCATGTCTTTCTGTGCTGACTTCATGCTTTTTGTGCTCTTGTGAGTTTCCTCATAGTTTTAATGTTTCCATGTTCTTCTTGGATTTTCATTTTCTTGGTATGTTGTGAAGTGTTCATTTTCTTTGACATTACCTTATATTCCATTAACTTTTCCCTCCATTTAGTGCAGTATGTTTTATCCTGTAATCTACCTGACCTTCTCACCATCTGGATCTCTGTTCCTACATGTTTACCTTCTTTTACATTGTAATTGTTTTGATCATAGACTGACCTCCCAGATTCTCTAAGTTTGTTCTTATAGTTTTGTTCTGTGCTTGACTCTTCCTTTTTCCAATTTAGTTCTGGGAGGGTCTGCCACATATGTCAATCTCTGGTTGTTGTCTGTTCTTGTTGGTTTCCAGTCCACAGAATTCCCTTTAGGATGTTTTGTAGCACAGGGTTGGATTTGGCAAAATCCCTTAGCTTCTGTTTATCCTAGAATATTTTGATTACACCATCACATTTGATTGATAATTTTGCTGGATAAAGGATTCTTAGTTGATATATATATTTTTTTCTTTCAGAGCTTTATATATGTCTCCCCATTGCCTTCTTGCCTGCATGGTTTCTGCTTAATCTGACATGCTTACCTTTTATGTAACAATTCTCTTTTCCCTAGCTGCTTTCAGGATTGTCTCCTTATCTTTGATTTTGGAGGCCTTGATTATGATATGTCTCTGTGATTTTCTTTTGGGGGTCTATCCTTCCTCAGGTTCATTGAGCTTCCTGAATATTTATCTTTTCACTTTTCAAGATGTTAGAGAAATTTTCTTCAAGCAGTTCTTCAACTATTTCCTCTGTGGACTGGTTTTATTCTTCCTGTTCTGGAATGCCGATAATTCTTAAGTTATTCTTCTTCATATTGTCCAACATGATTCTTAGACCTTCTTCAGATTTTTTTACTCTTTTTTTCTGTTTGCTCTTTTATCTTATTGGTATTGAGAGATTTGTCTTCCAGATCACTAATTCTGCCTTCCATCTCTTCTAGTCTACTCCTTTGCCCTTTCAGTGTATTGTCTATTTCTAATATTCTACTATTAATCATTTGGACCTCTTTCTGTAAGGTTTTTTTTCTGTAGGTTTCCAATGCTGTATCTATCTTATTTGATTGTTGCTGTAGCATTTTCCTGACTTCTTCCTTATTTTTCTCAACTCCATTGTAAAGTGTTTTCAAACATTTTATAATCACTGTTCTGAATTCCTTCTCAGGCATTTCCAAGGCCTGCCTTGCTTCCAGAATGTAGTCCAGTTCTACCTCTAAGTCATTGGTCTCAGATATATTATCATGTTTCTGGACATGTGCTGATATGGTCATCAGCTTTTGCTTCCTGGACATGTTTAATGGTTATCTGTGGCTTTAATATTTAATTGAGGGTGGTGTTTGGTATTTTTTATGCTTTCTGATTGCCTCCTGGTAGATGTGATCAGGATGTGGACTTCCCTTTTCATTCTTCTTATTGCTTAACTCAGAGTAACATTTACAAGTGTTGTCTGCCTACCTGGTGTATAGCAGTTGGTATTGGTTGTTGCCTGGGTTTTGGTGTTATAGAGTGTGATTATAGCTTGACTATATGGAAGCAGTTCCTGTCTCTTCTTGGGTAATATAGGGAAAGAAAGATTCTCCCAAAGGTTAAAGGGGGAACAAAAAACAGCAAAACAGCAACAGCAAAACAAACAAATGAAACAACAACAACAAAAATTAGATTGGATACTATAGTCTATAATCACAGAAAAGGGAAAGGAGGGAGAGAAGAAAAAAAAACAAATCTGTAACCTTGTATGAGTATGATTTTAATGTCCTCTTTCAGCTTCTTGGCCTCAAGGCCACCTGATAAACTTCAAGATGCCACTGTTGGTATTTATGGTGTTTTTCAGGATTTAATTTTTTGGCCTGTTTTGTTTTTAAACTCTCTCTCCCTCTCCACATTCCTTGTTCTGGTCTTTTCTTTATTACAAAATCGTTCAGGGCCAGCTTTTGGCCTCTGGTCTATTTAAATGCTAAGAATATCTGTGTGCATGCGTGGCAGAAGAACCTACCAGTGGCAGGGGTGGGGGGGTCCACTCGATCAGGCACCCCCTCTATTCACCAGAATGGAGGTGCACAAACAATTGGGGGGCCAATGAACAGATACCAAAAACAAAAACAAAAAAATCAGAACAAAGCATAACCGACAAAGTGTATTGTCCACCTTTGCTCCGAAGTTCCTGTGGCATTATTCCATGGTGGGTCTGCTCTCCCGCTTGGTCTTGCCGTTTGGTCTCACCCAAGTTGTCAGCTCCAGGCCACCCAGCCAGGCTGATTCTAAAGTCCAAGATGTCTTACTTCCACTACAAGTTCCACTAGCTATAAACCTTCAAACTTTTAAAATATTTCTACCTATGTAGTTCAAAGTTTTGGAGCTCTGCCCTGAACCCGCTTTTTTCTGTGATATTGCTGACAGAGAACTTCACTGCACTTCTACCCTATCCACCATCAAGTCCCACACTCTCTCCTAAATTCTTGATTCTTTTCCATCAATTACTTTCTACAGTTAATCAAGAAATATTTGATACGTCAATGCCTTCGTATGACTTGTAAAAAGCCATCATAAGAGATTTCTTGTTTTAGGGAATTAAGATGACCTAAAGGAACTCTTGTAGCATAGTAGTTACAAGTTGGGCTGCTAACCTCACGATTAGCAGTTCGAAACTACCAGCTGTTCTGTAGGAGAAAGATTAGGTTTTCTGCTCCCATAAAGATTTACAGCCTCGGAAATCCTATGCAGGGTCACTATGCATTGGAACCAACTCCACAGCACATAACCACCACCAACAACAACAAGACGCCCAGAAAATAAGAGTCCTAGATGGAAGTCAAAAGGCTTAAAAGTGAATTTAGGTTATCCAACTGACTGGCTTAGTGAGATATGTGTCTTAACATTTCTGTGCCTACCCACCAACATCCTCATTTGTAAAATAAAAGGTCTTGCTCTTCTAAACTTTAAAATGCAAATATATCCTGGAAATCATCATATAATCTGGAACCACTGCATTTTTATCAGCTTCTCTTTGACTTGCTTCCTTGCTGGGAGAAACTTCCTGTATATGTGGGCTTGGATTCGTTTCAGGGGAGTGAAACAGAGTCATGTATGGAAAGGAGCAATGTCTGAGATTGCCAGACAAAGAATGAGGGCTATGATGAAGCCCTCACCAGAACCAGGGATAGTACCAGGCGTTAGTCATTTGGAAGGAAGGGAAGGTAACAAGCTGATGAAGAAAGGCCTTACATCTTCCTGCTGATGTCATTGTTAGGTGCCATGGAGTCAATTCTGATGCCTGGCAATCCCATATGTACAGAGTAGAACTGCACTCCGTAGAGTTTTCAAGGCCATGACCTTTAAGAAGCAGATTTCCAGGCCTTGCTTCAAAGACACCAATGGGTGGATTTGAACTGCCAACCATTTGGTTAGTATTCCAACACTTAACCGTTTGTACCAGTCCATTACTAGATACTTCATAAGATCACTAGATATTTGAAATATAGTTCTGGTATCAGAGTCCTAGAAATTGATTTAGATGTTCTATTTCATATTCTATATTTAGAATCCACAGTTACTAATTCTCCTTTATTCCTACCTTTCCTGGGCTCTGTGAAATGTAAAAATTAAGACAAAAAATGATATTCCATTTAGAGACCCAGATGCAAAGTATTGCTCTTTCAGATTATTCTCAACTTTCCTCTCTGTATTGCATTAGCTATGTGAAAAATACTCTCTCAGTATGGGAAATTCTATTCTTCCATCACAGGCATTGAAAAGTTTGAAGGCTGCTATTTCCACAGTCGGGAGTACAAAAGTCCTGAGGACTTTTTTGGAAAAAGAATCATAGTAGTTGGCATTGGGAATTCTGGAGTGGACATTGCAGTGGAGCTCAGTCGTGTGGCAAAACAGGTTTGTTTTTTAGAAAACCTCAGCTTCATTAATGAAAGCCATGCATTCATGGGTGCTATTCAGAACATAAGTTTGGTTTATAAAGGATCAGAAAAGAAAGTAACAGCATGGGCCATAACCTCAAGATGTTTAAATTCAGAGATAGAAATGCAGACAAGATACCTCATATTCACAACGGGAAAACACTAGATGGTACAAATGGTTGATGCATTTTGCTGCTAACTGAAAAGTTGGTGGTTCAAGTGCACCCGGAGACACCACAAAAGAAAAGCCTGATAATCTACTTTTAAAAAATCAGCCACTAAAAACCCAATGGAACATGGAACAAGTCAGCTAATTGGCATAACATAGTTGTTCGCTCATAATTCTATATTGTTGTTGTTATAAAGTACTGTCAAGTCGAGTATGACTCATAGTAACCCTGTATAGCATTTCTAAAGTGCAGCTGGAAGTTTTGAACTACCAACCTTGAGGTTAGAAGTTCAGCGCTTATCATAAAGCACCATGCCAAGATGTCATAATTGTATATACATAGAAGGCAAAATTATGACAACTTTTTAGATATAACCAAACACCTTGAGTGAATGAGTAATCAGGCATAGAGTTGAGAACCATGGTCTTCGGGAAACCAAGGTCAATGGATGTAACATGGTCCACAATGACCATGTTCTACATCCTATTTTAATGAGTAACAACTGGGATCTTAAAAGCCTGTGAATAGCCATCTAAGGTGCAACCATTGGCCTCCCTGTCCAGAGGAAAGAAGAGTAAAGAAAATCAAAGATGCATAAAAGTAATCAGTTTTCAGGATACCACTATCAACTGCTCTGAAAGGGATCACATTAGAAGGTCTTAGATAGAATGGGAGAAAAGTATGGGACCAAACTCAAAAAAAGACCAGGCTTACTGGTCTACTAGAGACTGGAGAAACTTCCCAAGACTATGACCCTTAGGTACCCCTCAGGTTTGGAAATGAATTCACCCCCATGATACAATTTTCAGCCAAACAATTGTTGTTGCTGTGAAGTGCTGTTAAGTCGGTTCTGACTCATAGCTACCCTATATAGGGTTTTCAAGAACTGACTGGTGAGTTTGAACCACTGACTTTGTG